TGGGGTCTTAAAAGCTAACGAGTGGCCGTCTAAGATGCATCAGTTGGTCCCAACCCACCTGGAGTAAAGGACACTGAGGAACACCAAAGTCACAAGGAAAGTATTAGCCCAAGAGACAGAAAGGGCCACATAAACCAGAGACTGCATCGACCTGAGACCAGAAGAACTAGATGGTGCCCAGCTACCACAATGACTGCCCAGACAAGGAACACAACAGAGAGTCCCTGACGGAGGATGAGAAAACTGGGGGGCAGAACTCAAATTCTAGTAAAAATACCAGACTTAATGGTCTGACTGAGACTGGAGGAACCCCAGAGAGCATGGCCTCCGGACTCTCTGTCAACCCAGATCTAAAACCATTACCGAGGCCAACTCTTCAGACAAAGCTTAGACTGGACTGTGGGGCATAAAATGATACTCATGAAGAGTGTGCTTCTTAGCTCAAGTAGATACATGAGACTAAATGGGCAGCTCCTGTCCGAGGCGAGATGAGAAGGCAGAGAGGGTCAGGAGCTGGTTGAATGGACACCGGAAATTATGGGTAGAAAGGAGGAGTGTGCTGTCATAGTATAGAGAGAGCAATTAGGGTCACATAACAATGTATGTATAAATTTTTGTATGAGAGACTAACTTGAATTGTAAACTTTCACTTAAAGTACAACAATAAAATTTTAAAAAACTTTAAACCAAAAAAAAAAAAAAAAGACCTGATTATCATCTCAACTTGCTGGTTCATTTGGAAAGTCTTAACAGCTGTATCTTTCTGGAACATGGTTAAATCCTCACCTTTATGGCTATAACCAGTTGCTGTCGAGTTGACTCCAACTCATGACAACCCCAGGTTTGTCTGAGTAGAACTGTGCTCCATAGTGTTTTCAATGGCTAATTTTTCAGAAGTAGATCACCAGGCCTTTCTTCTGAGGTGCTTCTCGGTGGACTCCAACCTTGAATCTTTCTGTTGACAGCCAAGCGTGTTAACTGTATCTACCACTCAGGAACTTTTATAACTATACTTCGTATTTATCAGTAGAACGCCATTTGCCACTACTCACAACCATGGTCCTTTGAGTCAGATTATTCTGAATTTGGTCTATGTCCAAATATTCTGGCTATAATGCCCCAAAGGAAAAATATAAACTTCTTCAAGATACCTTCAGTATCTACCTGCACTTTTGAGGTAAGAAGTAGGAGAATGTCTTCTTCTGTCCGCAGAGACATCGTCACTCCAAATGGGAGGTGAGCCAGGGTGAACTGGGGGTGGACGAGGAGGGACCCAATCATGACTCTTCGGCTCTCCTAGACTCCTCCAAGTTCCTCAGCCAGTTTCTTGTGTATTTCAGGTTTATCCATTGCCCTGGAGTCCATTGTGACTCATAGCAACCTTGCAGGACAGAGCAGAACTGCCCCATAGGGTTTCCAAGGCTGTAATCTTCACAGAAGCAGCCTGCCTCATCTTTGTCCCGTGGAACAGCTGGTGGGTTCGAACTGCCTACCTTTCGGTTAGCAGCGAGCACTTAACCACTGAGACACCAGGGCTCCTTATTTCAGGTTTAGATGAACATAATTAACTATTTCAGGGATGCAGAATTTCGCTGGGACTCAGGGTCCTCTTCAGAGCACCAGTAATCCTAGCACAGACAAGGGTGAAGAAGTAGAAGGTACAGGAGAGCGGGCCACATGTGCACTGGATGCAACCCATATCGAACTTGTTTTTCTCGGTGTTGTAATTCATTTTGTTCCTATTTGCCTCTTTATGGAGTAAAAAATCCAGTCATTTCACAGGGGCCTAAATGAAGTTTTACTGCCTGTAGAAGCTGGGTACTTCACATTATTTACAAGAACGGACACTTGAACTTAATACTGTAAACTCGGCATGCATTTACTTTCACATATTAAAGCACAAAAAGAAACTTAAGGAACAATTGAAGGTATTTTGATCAAAAGTTTCATGGGACAGTCTCCTCTCTCGGAGACAACATTAAAATTATAAAATTAAGACAATTTGTGAATATGAGGTTTAGACCAAAAGCCTTCCCAGCTCGCCTAACTACCCTCCTAATACGTACACGTAGGGACATCATGCTTGGTAAATAGAGGGTCAGCGAAAAAGAGGAAGACCCTCAACGAGACGGATTGACACTGGCTGCAACAATGGGCTCAAGCATAACAATGACTGTGAGGATGGCGCAGGACCGGGCAGTGTTTCGTTCTTAGCACACGCAGTCACTATGAGTCGGAAGCGATTCGACGGCACCTAGCAACAACAACAATATGTACATTCACTCACATAAAGAAAAGTAAATTAAAATAACAGCATATATCCACCTGAAGATTTTTGCTCATATTTTTTGGAAATTTCACCAGAATGCAAGTGTGATAAAACAAACCAGAACCAAACCCTGTTGCCGTTGAGTCGATTCCACTCATTGTGACCCTACAGGACAGAGTAGAGCTGCTCCCTAGGGTTTCCAAGGCAGTGGTTAAGAA